AAACATCAAACAGCAGATAAAGATGACTAGTCAACCACCAAGAACACAAACCCAGAAAAATTACAGATATGCAAAACAGATTTTGTTCACCCAGAAACTCGTCATTGGGAAAAACTGGGAGTCATCAACCGACCAGGCACTCCACTAAGTAGGAAAAGATTCTTACAAAGGAAACACAACCAAGCTCAAGATGCACCTAGGTCTATTTAGGAATATGAGTAATACCTCCTTTGTGCAATCTTCTTCTCCAACTTAGCAAAAACTTGAAGCTCAGTTCTTCATGGCAATGGCAGCTCCTTCCCCAGCTCGTTCATCCCATGGCACTAGCTTGCAAGCTCCAACACAAACCGAAACCAATTTGGATTCAAAGAAGAATGACCAATTTCTTCAAGAAATCATACTCTTGAAGAAATCAATCTTGAATCTGACCTAGATATAAATGATAGAATGATTTAAGTAGCTAGATGCAGATTTGTGTTTCAAATGCAGTTTTTCAAAAAGAAATCAATTGGAAAAACTCATAGATGAAAATATATGGTTCTCTCTTGAGGAAGAAGAGAAAGAAAGCAAAGCAATCTTTCCAAAACTTCCACGCGAAAGAGACAGCCGCCAAATGACCAAAATCGTGGCCTTTACAACCAAAAAAATTCGTTAGGTTAGAAAACACAGATGGCAGCATAGAGAGAACAGTTTGTTATCCAGCTGGAAATTCTACAGAGCAAGGATGACTAGTCATCTGAGAAACGGATGACTAGTCATCATTTTTATGAAGACTGTTTTATGAAATGATATGCAATGCACAATACCTTTGTCAAATTGCTTGAACCTCCATACAACAGAAGTTAGAGAAGAGCACCAAGAAAGGTTTTCCTTAATCTAAATTTGAGCTTGATAAATAACAACACACATCCTATTACAACGTTGTCAAGAGAAGCCAAAAGAAAATAGTAAAAACCATACATCAACAATCTCCCTCTTTTTGGCTTTCCTTGACAACACACTCTCTAAGAACACTCAACCCAAAACCGAGACTAAGGAGATGATGAAATGAAGATACCTGCAAGAACAACCAATCTTCCCGGCACAAAAACAAGCATATTATCACAGAAATTTTAAAACAATGTGCAATGTGGGGTTGAGAGTGTTCTCCCCCTTGTTGATAAGGAAAGTGCAAAAAGGCAGAGAGATAGAAACAACATACAAAAGTAACCACAGAGTGATAGGCATATATGAACAAGGTTAACAGCAAATAACTTAGATTGATGACTAGTCAAATAACAGTTGTTTAAAACAGTACAGAA